ACAAATTTTATAAATACTAATTGAATAATTTAATTTCCAATGCGCTTCAAAATTTATGACCTCAGCTATTTGCTGTATAAGAAATATCAATGTAATTTTGACGTACGCAGAAGACAGTCGGTCACGATTGACCAACATAAGATTATCATCGGCTTGAATCGCAATTATGGCTCACAAGCAATGATATATAGATTTGCCTTACGTAAGCTAACGATATTTCAGAGCTATCGTACAATGACTAATATTGTACGAGAGTTAGAGTTCCTATTGCGCTATAATACTACGTACGTTAATAAGTGGATGATACCAGCTTGTAGATTGTAAATGGATTCTTTTTCTGTGCTGTACTTTAGGAATCACGTAGAGAATCGCGACTGTCAAACATCGCTCTGTCAAGAAGCGAATCGTCCTATAAATCGTCCCACGGAAAGAAATACTGACTCGTCTATAAGCGATTTCGTTACGATATTGCAGTTCCTTGTAGTAGCAATCCACTTAAAAAAATCACACGAGCAATAATGTTCATGGTTGTGGTAAATGTTCATGTGAGTAAAATTCTATAACAAAAAATAAAAAAAAGACAAATGGGAGCACACAGTGATCATTCTTACATAACGTTCGAGGGAAGAAGGTATGCACAAGCAAAAAATGTTATTCGCGTAAAAGTACATATGAATGATGCGGAATATGACGGTGTAAGGGCAGTGCTATTCGTTTAGAGTGTTTTGTATAAGCATCTTGACAAATTATTGCACATATACATAGCACGCACACACGCGCATACGCACACACACGCACACACATACACACGTTATACACGGATGCATAATTCGCGTGCAATGTGTATAATGAGGGAGTTAAATACTGTCGTGTAAGATTATTTGTACTATTGTGTCGTGAATTGATATGGAACTTATGTTAACTTATATAAGCGCAAACTTTTTTTTGTCTTCTGTGTTCGAAACGATTGAAATTATTATGGGGTAAAATATTATCAAGAGGATAAACTTCCGAGACATTTTTTTCTTTCGAAATAACGCGATCTTTGAAAAGTTTTCCTTCTGTCAACGATATCTTTGTATAATAAGCATCGACTAATGGTGTTTTAATTTTTAACATATTTTATCTTTCAGATATTTATCTTTCAGACTCGTATATTGATAGAATTCTTATATTAATAGAATATTAATATGGTGAGCAATATATATTTTTAATTAATTAAAAAGCATTACCATTCCACCATCATTGTCGCTATATTATAGTGAAGTGTCTCCGGCCAAGATCAAACATCCTATTCTAATACATCTATTTATTATTTACTTTATCGTTCTTCTTACAAAAAAGATTTAAAGATTTGTTGTTATTATACTTATTACAGTTTTTATGTGCACTTATTCATGAAATCGAAGTACAATTTTTAATTTATAATGTATTGAAGACTTTCATAATTACTACTGCTGTGATTTTAAAGCGTCTTATTGTTAATTTTCTAGAACATTTGGCAGGTACAGAGACACATCCTATATCCAACCAACCCTGTGTATTACCATAAATACTACCCGAAGAAGGTAAGCTTTTCTCTTTAAATATCTTTATACGTGAAATATCTAATCAGTTTAAAACTTAGCCTAAATATTGACTGCATAAATACTTTGTTTAATGTATTATTAATAAAATAAAATAATTGCATAAAATCGGTAGAATATGTTTATAAAAACTGTTTTTTTTTTAATTATTGATTTTTCGATTTAAATTCCGACAAAATTAATCAATATTGATCAATATTATAACAGTTAATTGATTATATCAATATTAAATAAATTTATAATTAACATAAACTTAATAATTATTAAATTATAAAGTAATTGTATTATTAATAATTATATCAATATTATAATATTCTCAATATAAGTAATAATTAATATCATCCTTAATATTGTTATAATTATAATTTAATAATCAATATTATAATAAAAGAAAGCAATTTCATGTGTGTATTGTAATGTAGAAAAGTGTCGGAATCTCTAAATATTTCGAAAAATGATAATTTTTCAAAAAAACATTATGTATATTCTAAAAAAATATTAAATATTAAAATACTATTAAAATTTAGAGTTTTAAATGCGGTCAAATGATAATATAAGTAAATAAGCGTAATTTTGGATAATGTTATGCAAAAATTATAAAAATTGAGTTTTTCAAGATGAGAACCTTTACTTTTTATTTTATTTTATATATTTTTCTGATTTCGTAAATCTTTTGAAACGGATTAATATCTTAAATTTTTATATGTGTCAGAATTTGGTCTAATCATCTTTCTTTTAATTATTAAGGCTCTTCAAAATTCTTCTACATTTTATATATGTACAAATTAAAAGATAGATTATAAAAATAAAAGTTGTATGCGAGTCTATATTATAAGAATCAAAATTTAAAAGCGCTTTTTCTCCGTCCCCGTCAACCTAGTTTTCTTTTCCTGCGTTTTTTTATTTTCTTTCTATTTTAAAACAATTGTCTTATATCAGACGTATAAGACGCGTGCGTGCGTGTGCGTGTGTGTATTGTGTATGTTTACATGTCAATGAATTTAGTTATTATCTTACATCCGCTAATCAGTCCATTTTCATCGAATTTATTTATTTATCATCTCGTGATTATGCATGTGTATATATGACTATGCACATGTATAATTATGTATGTATAGTTATCGTGTGAAATGTATCGAATAATGAAAGGCAACGAGTCGGAAGGACTAAAGTTAACTTGCACTAGATTACATTTAAGCGATAGGCTGCACGTCGGTTGTTAAAATGTTATCGTTTAAAAATTTTAAAGCTCCTTCTCTCACATTATCCCCTTATTATTTTATTACCTCATTAAAAGTGTACGTGAGTGTATAAGAATGTGCTCTTTGCACGCAATGTAACGCGTAATTACCGCGTGCGTTTTACAACTATCGCGATGATCGATCAATAGTATTTTAGTTTGACTGTTATATACCGTATATATGCACAAGTTTTACGTACGCACATTTATAAATACGCATTTTAAGCCTTTTTCGCGAGAACTTTTATATATTTCTACATATATCAAAGAGTCGATAGTATATTTCATTTAAATCCCACTGATTCTTGATCAACTATCCTAATCTGCCGATCTTTTACTAACCGTTATTATACTTGTTATTATTTTTATTATTATTATTATTACCATTATTATTATTACTATTATTATTATTTACCTGTTATATACGCGTTTATTAATTAAAATATATTCATTAAGCAATGGTATTAATATTGAAATCAAATGTACTCCATGCATTGGATTATTCACACCATATAGTGTGTGTATGCGTGTAACTTATAAAGATCCGTAAATATCTAAATACCATCTATATGTCGATCTATTATCACAACAAATTCTAAATGTTTTTTTCTGATCTTATCTGGGCTAATTCGGAGAAAAGTTCCCCTTTGATTCTCTCAAAAGCAACGATCTTTCGTACAGTAAATATTATTCAATATCTTTTCTTCTCTTTCCACCTTTCGCTATTAAATTAGCGCTGCATCAATTTATCTTGGACTTAAAGACGAGGCAAACAAGTAAATCGTTAGTAATCAACAGGCGTGCCTACATGGACCGTGCTTGAGAAATGCAAACGCGAATTCTTCGCGCATTCCACTTTCATACCTCGCTCGCATTTTGCGAAAGCGAGCAATTATACTCTGGTCGCATTCATACTATATTCGTTCATTCGTTCATTCCCTTGTTTTCTCTTATTTTGTATCCTCCTTTCCTGTCTTTCTCTCCCTCTGCTCCCTCATTGATATTATTTCTCACGTGTATTCTCTCATTTATTCTCATCCTTCCCTGTCTCTGCCTTTCTTTCTTCCAGTCTCTCCGTCTGACGCTCATGAATACATTTAAGTCTTGAGACATTTATATTCTATCTTAAGATCTATATTTCAGAAATATTAGAACGCCATTGTAGTTTTGTCAACTCTTTTAAATAGCTTATTTTTTAATCTATCCTTTAATCTATCTTTTAAAGTAATTATTTATCGAATTTAGTTCTAGCATATTACTTAGCAAATTTCGTCAGAGATTACCACCGACAAATTATTATATTGTTGTCTCATTATTAATATGATAATTCACATTCACATATATGTATGTATATATAAATCCATAGTATTTATAGTTATCATAAGTGCATCGTATATATAAGTTTATATTATAATTGTCCTTATATTTCTAGCACAGTTCTTTGTCGTACTCTCACTCTCTCTTTTACACTTTGCTACACTTTGTTAAGTAAAATGTCAGGATACCATACATATACATATTACATACATATATGTATGTACAGGTATGCTGTTTGTGTATGTGTACAATATAATAATGTATGAGATAATATTTATGCATACATATATATATATACTATCGTACTTCTGGAAACAGATCGCCGTGCAACTCAAGAAATGCAATTCACAGTTTGTGTTCTTTTTTTTCTTTTCTTAATTGCTTTTTTCTTTTCTTAATTGCTGTTTATATAAATTCTTGGCTTCAATTTCTCGTAATTCTGATCTTAAAGATAGAAATTTATTTTGAATTAAAAATATGTCATTTTAATTAAAAAGTTTATTTTCGTCAATTTAAATACACTAATTAAAAAAAGACATAAGGAGTAAAATTTGTCAAATACAATCGATAAATAGATATAAAAGATACAATATATATATACTGGTAAATTTAAACAACCACATCATATATAAGTTACTTTCATCACATATTCTTAAATGTTATCATTTTATTAAATATTGCCGTTTCTATTTTTTTCTATATTTATTTTGGTTTATTGTTGTTTAAAACATTAAGGAATTTATTTCCTCGATTTGCGTGGCAATCCTTTCTTTAGGAGTACGATATAATCATGTACAGAACGATTCTCATAATCAGCGCTTTCACTACTTCATCTTTTTTTTTTTTCTTTTCTTTTCTTTTTTTTCTTTCGCTTTGCAACTGAGGAGCTCGTATAGTCGTCATAATCGTACCGTCGCGTTCTTTTCCGCTTCCTCTTGAATTCTATCTACGTTAGATAGTAATTATGAATACTCCTTAAATTATGCATTCTTACGAAAATATTAAAATTAAGCATTACGTAACAACACTGGCCGACAGAGTCGAGGCGACATGAACGGCGGAACCGCGCGGATTCTCATCGCGGACACATCGCGGACCGATGCACCGGTATTTTCGTCATAGCACATGAGAAACGTGCCTCTTTTTGATGATGTCTCCTACAAAACAATCTCTCTCTTTCTCTCTCTCTCTCTCTCTCTCTCTCTCTTTCTCACACTCTCGCAATCTCTCTTTCTCTCTCTCTCTTGGAAGGCAACAGATATAAAAATGTTTTCTTTTTGATTTAACGGTATGCCAAAGTATAATAGTCCGATATCCGCGAGGATCGACCGATCGCATGGAAGCGGCGATAATCATTGTCGACCAATGCTACTGTGTACATTTCCTTAGCTTGGCGTGTTGATATTTGCAAGCATGCAAGTTCAGTCATGCGTGGCAAACGATGTGTAATCAGCATGTGTATATATGTAGTTGTTCACATTTGTATCGCGCGCGGCTCGCGTCTTGTGATTGTGTTTCTTTTCTTCCTTCAATTTTCATATATATATATATATATATATATATATATATATATATATATATATAGCATATATACATACACACACATATATATGTATATATGTATATAATTTGTTCTTATTCTTTGTCTTAATTGACGAAGGAAAAAAAGCCATCTCTTTTTCACATCTTTCACGATTTTACGCGCCTAATGATTGATCGCGAAACATTTCCAAATGCTCCGACACGCGGAGAAACGGAAAGAAAAAAGTAAGGAAACTTGTGCATGAGTAATTAACGGTTCGCTTGTTCGTCGTTTGGTTATCAGTCCATTCAGGTACCTTTGACGTTGAAGAGAAAAACTAATTTAAATTCATCCTAGAGACTGCGAGCTCCGCTCGACAGTATATGCGCCCATAATAAATGCCATCCATTCGTAACATCGCCATTTCTCACATTGCGATCTTACGCGGATTATTGTAATTACTGTGAGTTCGAAATATCATCACTAACAAGAGAAGCGTAATATACTACATACACGGTAATCGGTATGTAGCGTTCATTACTCGTCTTCATGTTTATTTTTCATGTATACCCGATATTTTCAGCCGCTTTATTAGCCATTTATATCAGCATTTTCCTCGATTTTTTTCAACGCTTCGTGCTCTAATCGCTTCATCTCGCTTTTTTCCATTTCTCCTTATCTTCCGTTTATCTTCTTTTTTTTTTCATTTAAACTCTACGTTAATAAATGGTAAAGAGACACACTGGACATTGGCACGACAGGTGGCATCTAGATTTAATATAGAATAAAATTTACGTTATTGCGATAACATTTGGTATCGTTGCGTCGTTGCCCAGTTGATCTGATATCCCTGCATTCCTCTTGTTTCTTCCATATTCGTGGGGGGTCCAGAGCGCGGTGGGGATTGGAAGTCGGGGCAGAACACCAGGCAGCGACGTCAATGCTTGTTTTTTAAGGTTTTTCTTTTCTTTTGATTAGATTGATACAGTCTACATTTGATACTCGCTGCAGTCTTCGGAACTGTCCAGCAAAAAATGGAACACTCTTTCACCTGATCAGAGACCCTCGACGATAAATCCTCATTGAGAAAAGCGCCCTTTCTTCCCAGTAAAACAGCACAAAGAGCGCCGAGTTTCTTTTTCTTTCTCTCTTTCTTCTCTTCTCTTGTTTATGTCTTATTTTCAGATTAGAAATACGTACTTACAAGATTAGAACGACGAAAACGCCATTTCGTCGTTACATATCGTGGCAGATCGCACGCAGTACACGCACCAAGAAATTGATGAAAAGACCGTTGCGATTGGTATGACTTGACTTAACTTGATCTTCCGCAATTTATAAATCTTTTAGAGATATTTATATCTCCTTCGAGAGTAATGACGCGACCGCATTCGTACTTGAAAGTACTTTTCTTTTTTTCTATTAAGTGTTCTTATGAATGTATATGTGTATATGTGTGTGGATGTGATTTGTCATGTAAAATTAGATATCTATCGCACAATTTGGTTGTATACCATTGCGATTATTTCGCTTACGCGTGTTTTCTACTCAAGGCGGATACGAGGGTAGTAATTTCTTTGTTAAGTAACTCGTTATAGTAATTGCATTTCCTAGCAATATAATTGACGTTTCGTGAAGACCTCGTCCGTCTCATTTCCTTTCGTTCTCTTTTGCGCACACGCACACACACACGCACACGTGTACGCGCGCGCATACGCACGTACATACATATTCTCTTCTTTTCTCTTTCTCTCTCTCTCTCTCTCTTTCTTTCTATCACTCTCTCACAATTCTCCCTTCCTTTCCCTCTTCCTCTCATATGTTCGCTCTTTCTTATCATCGACAGAGTATATATAAGCAGATACTGCTTGTATCTGCTCTAACCAAAAACACCGACCAGTAACGTGATAATACTTAGATATACAAAATGTGATTTAGAGGAATAAGGGATCGGAAGAGGAAGTAATACGCATTCGATCACGAAATTTGCGTCAGCCGAGCTGCATCTTTGGACTTGCGTCATAAGCAAGTGAATTTGTTTACTTATTTGACAAAATTTCGGGCGGATGGCCTCTCGTTCTCTACATCGACTCACCTCCCAGAAGATCTCCGGGTAAGTACGAGTTGAGAGAACTGGGAGTTGCTCGTTGCTGGTCACTGTTGTCTATCCCGGCATTGCTCCACAGGGAATTGCTAGTAGGCGGGGCGCCCCAGAGCTGACTAGAGCTGCCTCCCCAGGTGTCGGGTGGCGGGCCAGCTTTGTTAGTTGGTCTAAGGCCCCAACCGGCCCCGCCGGAACTACCGGCTTGCTGCTGTCCGCCGTGGCCGAGTTGCTGCAGAATCGTGTGCACCTCGCTCTCTCCGGGCGACTCGGCAAATATCGTTGTGTTACCCAGGACGCAATTGTTTAGGGCTCCTTGTGCCTGAAAAAAAAATTAATAATTCCGTAACATTTAAGCCATTAAAAAACAAAATAAGATTTATTGACACAAATACTACATATCGCAAGGATCTGAAAAAGAAAACAATTTTTTAAATATTCACCTTGATTGCCTCGTCGCGAGAAGAATATTTCGTCAAAGCAATTCCATGATTCTGATAGAGACGGAAATCTTGAACCGGTCCATGTTGCATGCATAATGTTTTCAAAGTGGAACCGTCGATTTGAGGAGTAAGATTCCTCAATAAAAGCCAAGTAGACATCCAACCTGTATTGCTAACCGATGACGACTGAAGGCCCCACGAACTAGATGATCTACTGACAGTTCCTAAGCCGGCTCCCCAGCCATTGCTTGCGTTTGTAGCTCCTTTACTACCCAAACCGGGAGGTGGGCCGCGCGCTTTGCTCATTGGCGCACCCCACAGCTCCGAAGTCACAGCAGTGGGCGGAGGAGCAGACTCACCCCATGTATTTTTGGAAGTGCTACAACAAATTGTATCTTTAAAATTATATTCAGAAATAGAAAAATTGTTATAATATATTATACATTTAGATAGAACAATTACCTAGTAAAAGCACTAGGTGTGGTGGCTGGTGGATTAAATGACCACGTGGAATTACTTAGACTCGGGATCGATGTGTCAGGATTGGCTGTTTGCGGTGGCGGTGATGTCTTGCTGCTCGACGAAAAAATCGTATCGGGATCCTTGATAGTTGCTAAGGATAATGGAGAGCGCACGACAGAACCGGGAGTGATACTAGGATCATCCTCGATGCTTTTTATCTGGGTACCCTAAAATGAAATGAAATATAGGTGGACCCGGATAAGCTTTAAGGACTAACACACTGTCTTTTTACGCTTCAATGTTTATACGCATCCTTAAGTATAATTTTATGTCATGAACAGTATATTCTTCGAAAACATTTAATAACGTTTAAAAAGCAAATAACAATTGACGGTATTGGAAATGGATTACCTTCCATGGTTTCCCTGGTTCGAATTCCGGTACAAGATCTGTATATGCGGCACCACCTGGTTGCCAGTCCTTTCCATCGGTCGAATCGCTGTTACCTGGATCAGGCCAGCCGCTATCGCCGAGTCTAGAAGACCACGTGCCGTCGCTTTGACCTAATAATGGATTCATGTTCGGACTGCTATGCGATTGAGTCAAAGCTCCAGGTGTTGTAGGCGGTTTACTTGTAGTTCCAGGAGCACGGGAAAATTCGTTTGATACTAAATCACCGTCCTTGTCGATCGATGGTAGTTTCCATTGATTTAATCTTGACTGTTGCTGACTCTATAAAAAAAGAAGAAAAAAAACATTTAAATGATTAGATTACATAATTGCACATCAAGATTTCGCACATTTATGTAAATCAAACACAACGTACCACTGGAGGTTCTTTGTTCATTGTTAAATCACTAAAACTGTTCTGCAAAGCTGACATAGGATCGTGCACAGAGGATTTATAGTACTCTGATGCTTGTGACGGAGGAGCTGGATGTTGTTGTTGTTGTTTCATATACGTTGCTTGCTGTACTGCGATCTGATTCTGCAGATTCGTTATTTGCTGCTTGGTTTTTGTAATTTGAACACTAATCTGCAGAGAAGACTGATTGCCTCCTTTCATTGAAGTATTCTGAAGAGAGTGTTGTTGATGCAATTGCTGCAAAACCTTGATTTGCTGCAGCAACTGATTTAATAACATCAAAGTTTGAGGCGCTAATGGTTGATTCAAAATCTGATGATTTAGATATCCTTCATGGACAGCTAATTGAATTTGTTGCACGAGCATACGCAGTTGCTGTGTACTTGGCTGATTCTGTGTTGTGCGAGATGCCTGAAAATTAATATTATATAAATGTATAAAAATATCATATATATTAAAGATAATTTGATTATTTTGATTATTTTGAAGTATTTAAATAAAAACAACATATATATATATATATAATATACAACATATATATATATAATATACAACATATATATATATATATATATATATATAACATATATATATATATATATAATAATAATTTGATTGTAGAGCTATAACCTGATTTATTTTTTATTAATATTAATATATTTATAATATCATGTATTAATGTGTATTTGCAAATTATTATTATTATTTTATAACAAATGTATATTATTGCTATTTTTTTATATAATATTAAAAGAAAATACATATCTAATAATAATCTAATTATCAAGATAAAGGTTTTTTAATTTAGAACAATAATTCTAAATGTCAATAGTTAGTAATGCATCAATATCATTAATAACATCATTAATAACAAATAACAATCCATATGCATAGCTAATATTAAACAAATACAAATTCATGCATTTAAAAATCAGATTAAATTATATGCATCTATTAATAAACATATCTAATATATATATAAAATCCTTTCACAAAATAAATTTTTTACAAACATTGGCTAATTTAAGAAATATTACTTAGTGATTGATTATATATATATATATATATATATATATATATATATATATATATATTCCTCCTATATAAATAAGTCATTATCATTCAACCGCTTTGAAAAATGAATCTATACAATCTTCTCAGCCATTATCATAAATTTGTCAAAACGTGTGACATGATTGAATCACATTTTGTCATTGGACATAAAATTGGCATTAATATATGCCATTGCTTTTATTGTAAAAAAATTAAGGAACTTAAATATGATTTGATAAATAATTTATCATTTTCAAGAGTGCATTTGTTCACCTGATTGAAAGGAGGTTGTGGTGCATTGGTACTTGGCTGCTGTTGCTGTAGCGGAACAGCTGTCTGTTGCTGTTGTTGTTGTTGAAGTTTGAGAAGACTAGCACTGGTTACAGAACCACCTACGCCTCCACTGGTTGCTCCACTGGGCACTCCTCCGCCCTGTGTTAAATATAAATTGTATCCTATGCCTACCTTCTTTTTTTCTTCCTTTTCTTCTTCTCCCGCACTTATTAATATTTTTATTATATACTATTGAAATCTTTTTCAAACATCAACAATAACAAAAAATCTATTATGATTTCTTTACGAAAGACTTTCATGTTTAAATGTTTTATACCTTTTATAAAAACATTTACTCATATATAAATATATACAAATAACACATGTATTTCAGTAATATAAAAGAAATATTTATGTGTGCACACATACAAAAAACAATTAGTAATTATTCATACCGCATCAGTACTACATAGCGGTTTCTATTTTTCAATTCATCATATTTAATTATAAACATTGTTAATTTATAATAAAACAAGTGTAAACTCACTCAATCTCATTACTTGTTAAGCAAATTTCACCGAAAACCAAAACCAACGTATTTGTTTGCTATCAAATATCTTTACTTTATCACGCTTTCAAAATCAATATTGTTAATAAAGGATTAAGACATGTTCGAAAATCCTATATACTCCTTAGAATATTGTTCAAGATCAAAAACTTGTTTTTCACAAAACAAAAGAATATATTTATATGCATATTGTTTATCTTATTGTTCAACTGATTATACTTACTGGAGGAAATGACATCTGCTGTCCCACATGATTGAATCGGGGATATGCAGGTGCGGTAGTCGCTTGATGCGCTGGATCATAACCAGAATGCGTGTCGTGACGTCTCCATTGATCGACAGGACGTATTTGATTGAGAAGTTCCAGTGCTTCATCTCGGTTCATCTCTCGATTTCTTAATGCTGCTTCAACGTCTTCTTTCTATATAAGACAATAAAATATTCATGTATGTATTGCATAATCTTATAATATCTGATAATTACATTATTTTTAATAATAGACTATGTTAAAAATTTGAAGATTTTATTATGTTTCAAAAATTCAATAAATATACCTAATTTACAAAAAGAATCATCAGCATATTTTACAAATTTATATTATCAAATGCAATCAATAGCATATAAAACAATTAATTTTCTTCAAGATATAATATAATATAAGAAAAAAGTTCACTTCTCATTTATAATTCCTTATAGTTGTAGTAAGAAATTAGAAGCTTCGAGTTCTATATTTACTATTATTTTAGCAATTTAATAAATTACAAATAAACGATGGAGAAATTAAGATTAAATAGAAAGAAATAAATAAAAATTAAAGATTTCATACCTTAAATCCTAATTCGCACAGATATCGAAATTCGCGACTATTCCATATAACTTCCTTCGTTAAAGTGGGCTTCGTAGGATGCGCCCAACTGGGAGTCGGATCCATATCAGAATCGCCCCAACCACCAGCAGGTACCATAGGCTTTGGCTTGTGTGCACTCCAAGCTGGATTCAATTGAGGCTCATTCCATGTAGCAGGTGTCTTAGGATCATCCCAGGATGCGGTATCATGCGGTCCATCTGTCCAAGTTCCGTTGCGTCCGCTGGGAGCGCCGGGGTGACCCCACATAGGATTACCAACGTCCGGTTTCATTCCAGGTTGTCCTGGCATTCTGTTCTGCGGCATTCCTGGTGGACATTGCATGCCTGTAAAATAAAAAATAAGATTAATATTGAGTAATCGCCACAAAGCTTTGAAATAAAAAACCAATATGTATTAATAATTTTTGTTTGAACAATACATAACGACAAATATATTTCAAAATCCTTCGCGAATATGTACCTCCACGAGCCAAGTTCGGTGCAGGCATATCTTTCCAGTGTGATACTTTACTACCCGGTATAGCGCGCTGATTAGCACCCGGATTTCCCCAGAGACTAGTACCATCGTCATAATTGGGCACGTTGCGGCGTTGTGTCGGCGGCGAGGGTTCTTCCCATCCAGTCGGTTTACCGGGCATGATATCCTTTGGCGGTGGCGCGGCCCACTGATTCATGTTCGATGGATTAAGCATTTTGGCCGGCGGTCCAGATGGGTGTTGATGACCCATTTGATGATGCCCAGGAGGCCCAGGCGGCTGGCTCCACATCGCATCCGCGTTTGCGCCATGCAAACGTCCTGATATTCCACGTGGATCACCGCGCATATCGGCCATTCGCGGATCACGAGCCATCGGTTCCATTACGCGCATGTGATCTCGTGGATCCAAGGACATACGATGATCTCGTGGGTCACGCATCTCTCTCGGATCTACAGATCGCAAGTCTCTTGGATCTCTGTGGTCTATTCTGGGATCGCTCCAATTGGATCCTATTGCAATAATTAACATTTTTTTGTAATTCTAATTATTTTCATCATTACCGTACGCGATAATCACATTGATTATAAATAATCTATATTTCATCAAAATTATTAAGCATGATATGATTTTGACAAATCTGCAGTTGCTTTCTCATATACAAAGAACGTACAATTTTATATATGAAAATAATCATAAATATACATAACAATTATACTTATAAATTGCTTTAATTTGATTTTTCATTGCAACTAGAAAGTATATAAAATTATTTAGATACATTAAAGTCATTTATCGATATAATTCAATACATAATGTAATAAATTATATATACAAGTCTATTATATAAGTAACAAATTAAAAATTAAATGTATTATATAGTAATTAAATATAATTAAATATATATGCTAAATGTACAAATTATAATTTAAATTACAAATTATAATTAATTTGTCATATTAATGTTCTATATCCAAATATTTATATAATAAAAAATATATAAAAAAATGACATTTATAATTTTAATCAATAGAACTATTAGAACAAACAGATGCAGAATTAATGAATTAATGTAAACAAAAAAATATATTGCAATTATATTGTATACTATTCTTTCTATATATATATATATATATATATATATATATATATATATATATATTTGAGCATGTTTCTTAATTTAAGAAAAAGCATCTAAACAGTGTAACGTTTTCACATAAAAAAGTGTAACGTTTTCACATAAAAAAATGTACATTTATATAAATTAGAACATTTTACAAAAACAAAATCCAAAATCAGATAAAAAGCACTTAAATTATATTCCTACTTATTAGATTTTATTTTAAAGCTCCATGAATGCTAGAGTTAATATTCCATTCTAATAGGCAAATATATAACATATATTGAGACGACTTTACAAACATAAACATAAGCTAAATATTTCAAAAGAATAATAATATAGTAAGTCTATATTATTATACATTTTAATTTATTATATGATAATATATCAATTTTTATTTAACTGTGCAAATATAAAGGTTTATATTGCACACATATACTAAATGTAATTTGATTAATTTTGGGGTATTCTGAACATAATTCTATATAGAATGATTCATTTGACTACAAATGTTTTATAAAAGTTTTGTATTTTACATTTTGTAGTCAATTAATCATTCTATATAGAACTATGTTCAGAATAGCCCAAAATTAGTCAAATTACATTTAGCATATGTGTGCAATATAAATTTCCTTTGTTACATTGTTCTCAAACAATATTAAACAATGTCTTTTTTAATACTGGATTAAAAATATTATTTCCAACGAATTTTTCTTTTATATAACTTTAATTACTTTATTTCCATTAAAAATATCTAATATATAATATTAAAATCAAGAATATTTTTTAATTAAAATTAAAAAATTAAAAAAAAAATACTTTGCCTATATAGATCTGGCATCTCTAGCCTTCACTAGCTCAACTCCCCACATACCAGCTTGATTGCCGGCAGTACCGGTCCACTGAGCAGCGCTCGGTTGTGACTGCGTCGGCGCACCGGTCCACATGTTAGACGAATCAGCTGTTTCATCATCTTCGCCCCAAGTACCGCCAATATTGGTAGCCGGAGTGTGGCCCCACGGTGTTTTCGTCTGTTGCTGAGGCGGCGGCTGTCCGCCGTTACGCAGATTCGCCTCCCATAAATCGGTACCGTTATTCACTGGTGGTTTCCAGATCGGTACACCGTCTTTGGTCATGCTTGGTTCGGGAGACGTTGGCACGTCCCAATTTGTATCTTGATTCACGTTTTGCTGTATAATTATTCATATACATGAATGTCACATATTAAATATTGGACACAATTGCTATATAATTAGAAAATTTGTCGCTGCATATACTTTTACTTTTTTGACATAACAAAAAAATTAAGATTTTTAACAAGAATCTTTTCAAAATTGCATTCTTCTAAAAATGTACCATATACTTGTATTTTACTTACGCAGCCCCAACCATCATGACTAAAGAGCGCTTCTCTCATCGTATTAAGTTGTTCGAGTTGTTGTTTCGTAGACGGATTATTAGTCGCCGAAGTAGTGCCGATACTGACAGCTCCTTGGGTAGGATTATTCGATTGATTGTTATTCGCATTCGAACCTGAAGATTGTTGTTGTTGAACACCACTACTGTTATTATTTTGCACTGATGGATTTTGTCCAAGACCACCTGGGTTGTTAGACTTTCCCTGAGGCCATTGGTTATTATTCTGATTCGCTTGAGTAGGATTATTTGATTGAGATGTTGGCGGACCAGATTGTTGATTCGATTGTTGATTAGGATTCGTAACTTTACTCACATTACCTAATCAAAAGAAAAAAAATACCGTTATTTTTATAAATTGTAGAAAAAGAAGTCTATTCAAATAAGTAGTATTTAATATTTTGTAAACATTGTTATAATAATTTTTCTATGAATGTTCAAAATATTTATGCATTTTATTATATATTTCAATATCATCAATATATTATCACATAGCATATTAATGTTTAAAAAAATTTTAAATATAAATTAGAATAGATAAAACAAGTTAAATATATATAAAATGTTTATATATTAAATAATTTTGGTAATATATACAGCAAAAATTTGTAAAAATTATTTAGCTATTGATGTTCTTACCCGAATTATTTTGACTTCCAGGCGGTCCTTGATTTTGATTTTGATTTGGATTTCCAGTAACAGATCGGTTGACGGTGTTTCCGCCCCAATTATTAGGTGCATTAGCACTACCGGGTGGATTTCCGGGTGTACCGCCCCATCCACTCTGATTCGTATTGTTGTTATTCGGCGTAGTGGCTTGCGTCGTTCCCCAATTGGTAGCTCCACCGCTATTCAAGGAACTCTCTCCACCCCCTGCTAATCGCAGAACCATTGGTATGCCCCAACGTTGTTTGTAACTTGTAATAGGCTCGTTGTATTTGTCATATAACTTCGAAACAGGATTACGAAACAGGATGTCCAAGATGGATTTTAGTTGACGCTGTTGAACTCCATATTCGCTCCCGTACTTCTCGTATGTTCTTCGACAAGCAGGAATTAACGCACGCACACACTTTATAAGGTATGACCATTGCAACGTAGACGATACAATGGAATCTTCGTTGCCGTTGCATATGATGGCATCATTATTATCATTATCATCATCATAATCATTGTCATCGTTCTTACGACTTTGGTCGCGTCTAAGATTATCTCGGTCATATTTGCAGATCAACTGAGCGTCATCTTTCGATGTTGTTGTAGTAGCCTTGAGCTTGTCAATAGCATAAATTTGCACGAGTTTAAATTTAGTTGCGTCATAATGACACAAATAGTCATTCTTATTAAGATCATCTGTATGACTTAGCAACATATATTGGATACATATTTGGTCATTTTGGAGTACATTGAAATATTCCAATCGCATTTCATTGTCGTTCGTGCGAATCTCCGCCCGAGACACAGGTACAGCAATTGTTTGGGATGCGACGGTGGCTGATTGGCATGTAAGCGTCATCGTAGGCTTGCAGGTAGTCATTATAGGAATGTTGACAGTCAACTTAACTTGCTTTCTGTTGTCAGATTCGTCAAGTCGAGCGGCATGAGATGTTTCAAACTTAACGTTACTATTACATTTATCGCTTAGCGTAGACCTACATACAGACTTAATGGTAGAGTTAGATTCACGATCGGTAGCGACCAATCCCCTATTATATCTACTAATCTTAAAACAAGTGTTTAGAGGCTTATTGTTATCCTGAAATAAAAGAGCACCAACAGTAAATATTGTTGCTTCGGTACAACTAATACCATCATTTTGAGACCCTAAGATCCTAACATTAGTAGTCATTACACTAGTCTTGTAGCACACAGCGATGTCAACAATGTTTCCGATAACATCTGGATTATTATTATTATTAATATTAATTTCCTCTTCAATACTACTAACGTTACTGTACTCGTTATTATAATATTCATTATAATTATTACCAACGTTGTAATCATTACTTTTACATATTACTAATAATGGAACACATATGTGTTGCATCAGCTCGGTCACAGTGACATTACATAATGGAGAAATAGAAGATTGTACATATAATTGTGTGAGATTTTTCAGGAAAGATCGCAAAGTGTGGTCAATTACTTCGTTTCTGAAAACGATAAGCGTAATGGAAGAACTGGCGGCGTACATCGCAAACTTCTGAGCGTAATAAATAGACACCGGTACTAGAGTGTTGCCGTTGAAATGCAATTTCAAGAGGTGTCGTACTATTCGGCGGCTCAGCGAGATTCGGATGTTAGAATCGTCCAGAATTCTATTGTTTGCAAGCAGTCTGGAGGTCTGAGCAAAACTGGTAACTAGGGCGTACTTATCACCTAGTAGTTTCATTCTATTCGATGTGGTGGTAGAATCGTCCCTCTTAATACAAAGTACCGGGATAACAGCAGCTATCTTGTCAAAGCCACCACTAAAGAGGAGGTAATGATTACTGTAACTGGTTGAGCTGAGCAATATCACAGACTTGGAGTTGTTATTACTTACATAACTAAAATTAGCCTTAAATTTATTGTTGTCGCCTAGGTCAAGGCAGGACCCTAGTAAGGAGTAATTGTCGTCAGAGTTAGGGAGGCGTAACAACCGTTGGGGACTATCAGACTTGGGTATCCTAACTAGGCTAGGTACCCCAACGGCGCGATACGCTTCGTCCCTTTCAAAATTTACACGTACCCTTATACATACTCTAATATATAGATTACTAAAGCTAGTCTTATTATCACTTAATGTCTTACAAATAGACTTAGAGTTATTGGCGGAGCTGCCCAGCTGCAAACCAAGCAAGCCCGGTGTGTTTTGCTTTCTGTACTTGTGATGATTATGTTCTGCATTGTTGTGATTATTTATTTTATTATTATTATCGCAGATTAGAAGGTGATTTGTTGGGTATTTTGTGGTTGCTGGCGCCACTGACTGGCAGGCCTTACCTATGCCGGTTGAGTTGAACTCACCTGTAATTAAAATGCTCGTGCTGTATGTTTTCATAGGAATTTCTAATGTGTATGTATATTCTCAATGTATATTCATTTATTTTATCAATAATCATATTTAAATGTACTTTGCATTTAATGTCACTAAATTTTTCTTGCTTTTTGTCGGAAATATTTTATGTATATGTTCTATGGAATCCAAAAGATATCGAAATTATTGATAATAAAATACCTGAATTAATGTAACAATAATAATATTTCTATTTGTATGTGACATTTTATAATTTAAATATTTATTATACTTGTATAAAAAAGGCCTATTAAAGGCCTATTAAATTGCCTACATTCCATATGCACATTCAATACAAATTTTTTTTATAAATGTTTATCAAAGCTGAGCTTATAATTTTATTCAGCTTTCAATTTTCAACAACTTTTAATTTTCAAACAATAAATATTAAAATAAATAAAATAGTAATAGTAAAATAATAGTATATAAAATAGTATATATAATAGTATAAGTATAATAGTATATAAAGTATAATATAATAGTATATAAGTATAATAGTATAAGTATAATAGTATATAAAATTAATAAAAAAAATAAACATTTTGTACAAAACATATTCATTTGTTATTAATATATAATATTCAGCAAACATAAGACAGACAAATCAAATAAGAATATATGTATGCATATATATGCATATACATGCATATATAAGGTAATTTTAATATTAACGCGATATTCTTTTAATGACAAATTGTATAATCAATTTAAAATCGGTTTGTTCTTAGTAAAAATTAAATATATTAGTAATAAATATCCCAATATCTATTTACTTACCAGCTTGGTTCAGCAGGACGGTTGAAAAGTCATTGGCGGCGGTAGCTTCGGGATGGCTAATAGGTGCTGCCATCATGCTGCTGTTTGCTATCGATTCGATATCACAGTACCTAGTGTGCTCTGATCCTTCCCCTTCCCCCACCCCATCCAGACTGCTTTCCCCTAATACTACTACATCCCCCTACGACATAAAAAAGGGACAATGAGTTGTAAATGTTTGTTTTAGGAAATATTAGTGCATAAACTATTAATTTAAAATGTAAATGAATAAATATTACAATAATGTGAAATGACGTGAAATTAAAATATTAGATATAAAATAAGATTTGACTTTTATAATTGACATAATATATATATATATATATATATATATATATATATAATTTTTTTTTTTTTCAAGAATGAAAAAATTTATACAGATATAGCTGCAGATATTGCAAGGAAAAAAATAATTTTAATATTTATAAATGTTAAAATATAAATTGGATGTTCATTACAAATGCAATTTATCATAAATTGCGGTATGTAATCTTTACAAATATTCAACATACATGTATTTACAAGAATATAAAATTATTTCATTAACAGTATCAATGCCATACTCATTAAATTTATCGAGACAATTTAATAATACATATATACGATAAATTTATAATACATATGGATCTTAAAAATCTGGCTAAATTTCAATAACATGGATAATTTATTTCGAATTTATGCAAGTTCTTAAAACTGATGTAGAATTTCAGCGCGACAAGTGATAAAATATATAATAAATAAAGCGACGATCCTAAATGCCTATAATTTACATGTAAATGCTTACCATGGAATTTTGTACGAAGGCATTTGTTTCTGTAGAAATCTCATGTGAACTAGAATTGTGTGGAAACATTGGGCTCAGTTCTTCTTTGGCAGGCAATGCATAGAAACCAAGATCTGCACGCGAAACATACGAGACATATATAAATATAATTAACAATAACATTTTTTAACAACTTAAATAATTAGATTCAATATCATTGAATAAAAAATTAATTAACAATACATTCATAAATATCAATATCAAACAAGTAAATTTTTACGTTTCATAATAATACATAAAAAATCAAATATATAATTAAAATCTGTATTAATATACAGTGAAACATAATAACGATTTATCATTTAATTAATATTTGTAATTACTTTAGATTACAAAGTTGAAAAATGAAAGCTGTTAAGTAAAATAAGTAAATTTAGGAAAAAATCTTTTCGCAAAACCAATTAAAATAATAAATTAATACCTCGTAAACTAACGCTATCAGTGCGCTCCTAGCTCCATGCCAGTGGAGATCTGAAAAATACAAAATATATAGATAAGATAATCGCGGAATATGCGGTAGAAAAATATTTTCTTCGTAAATGGTATCAAATTTTAATAATGTATTGCTAATGTGAATCATAAGATAAAATTGTTCCAATAAAAAGAGTTTATCATGTTTTTTATCAACTATCGTAATTCAAATATCTTGATAACAGAAGCAAATATAATTTAAAATGTAAAATAAATAAAATCTATCCAAAATTAATCAAAAGAATATATATCAAATTTTTTCATTTAATTACAATTTTACATTCACTAAAACATTTTATATTCTTTCAAAAATTTAAGAATCTATTTTAAATTTGTCAAAGATCTATCATTAAAATTTCATTAAATAGAGCACTTGTATAGCACTTGTGTAGGATTTATTTAAAATTTACACATCTTGAATAACTTACAAATTATATGTTTATGAAAAATTGTTACAAGTAAATGTTGCATAATTTTAGGATAACCATTATATAGTACATATTTTTACAAGTGAAAATATTTTGTAGATTTAAAGATTGATCTAATTTTTTTAACGAAATCATTAATTGTTTTATTTAAATCCTTGTAATTAATATATATTTGACATAAAAAGGCAGGACAGCCAAAAATTAAATTAAAAATTAAATAGTTTACAAGACATTTTATACTTTAATTTAATATAATTTTACATAAACTATAAGAAATATCTTTTAAAAACCTAAACTATTAAATTTTTGATCAATTATTCAACTTGAATAGACTTTCCGAAAAATTTCCGAAACATTTCCATTTATAAAAAAAATATATGTATATATCATGTAATGATTTACTTGGAATTACGCAACTTTTATATAAATAACTTTTCACGCAACAATTTGTTAGTTATTCAAAGTATGCGAGTTACGTGCTTTACCCTATTTATTGACAGTTGTAAAAGAGAATGACAGTTAATGTTTGAACAAGTCATCATGTATATATACACAATTAAAGTAATAATTTATTATAAAATAAGCAAAAAAAAGGAATAAAACACAGCAATATCCACTAAATAAAAATACTAATTTGCGAAAAAACCTCTTTAACCACGTTTTATCCGGTAATTTTAAAAACATCACAATTTACATTCACTTCACTCTCGTCTTTCTTCAACTGCGACTCACAGTTACTATCGATCGGAGCACCTTAAACGCAAAAGCAAAACGAAAAAGAAGAACGTAAAAGATCTCCGTTCAAGGTTAAATCCAAGTTCTCGACAACCGCTCCAAGATTGTCGCTGGATATCGCAACAGGATCCTAACCTAAACGACGTAATTACCGAACGATTCTGCTTATCCGACGCCCAACTCGAGATACCGCTCGCTCGACATTCCGTTCTCCCGTGGGGCACTCGCACGGAGATATATATCCGTTTAATACGATCCGACGACAGCGGGCGTGACGGAAAGGAACACTACACGACGACGACGTACGGACGTTTGATAAGACGACATTATTTACGTACGCGAGCCGTCCTCACGCTCTGAGGCGCTCCGAGCTTTGGCCGAACAATACGGAGCAGCCAAACGTCACACTATGCGAGCAGCGCGCGACGCACTTCTCGAAGAAGGAACGGAGCTCGCAAGGTACGCTGCGCGAGCGACAGACAGAGCGAAAGATATCGAGAGCGAGAGAGAGAGAGAGAGAGAGAGAGAGAGAGAGAGAGAGAGAGAAAGAGAGAAAGAGAGAGAGAGAAGGAGAAATGCCAGCGGAAAAGACGTCGAGAGAGAGAGAGAGAGAGAGAGAGAGAGAGAGAGAGAGAGAGAGAGAGAGAGAGAGAAATAGAGAGACTATATCCGCCGAAAAAAACGTACCTCGAACCGAGCGTCACACATCGGGTCACTCGGGACGATTAAGAAGAGACAGCCGATGTTGGATCCTGCGTACTCCCCCCTGCCCTCCCCCACTCCGCGAGACACATTCGCGAGCAAACGTCGGCAGCATCGGCGTAGCCGCTTATTTTTCACGAGAGAGGATTACACGGCAATGGTAGCGGCGACGACAGCAGCTGCGACGACGGCGACGGCAGCCGCGCAGGCAGAACGAACGACACGAACGGCGAAAAGGAAGAAAAGGGTCCGCGGGCGACGGGGAGTGCCGCGCGGGCGACCTAACGTCGTACCCGGGGCGCGCGGATTCGGTCGGACTTACACTCGTCTCCCGGGCAAACGAAGAACGGATCAGTCTGCACGAAGCTATTTCGCTAGAACGCACGGAATAGCGAAGCGTATTCCGCTCGCTCGGCTGGCGAACGGCCGTTCCCGCGAGCGATCATTCTCCCCCCGCAACGGCACGAAGGCCGCGCGCGCGATCGGTGGCGATCAGCGGCGACGCGGCGTGGCGCGGGCGGGGTGGGGAGGAGCGAGGGGAGGGGAGGCGCGTTTGCATCCCTCCCCTCCGCTGCCTCCCGCCGAGAGCGCGCTAAGCCTCCGCACGGAGCGGATGAATCCAACTTTTCGCAAAATCTTTTCTCTCATCGCGATTCCGGTTCTCTCCGATTTTCTCGCGTCCTGGATTTTGTCTCTGTCGCGCAAAGGGAGACGCGCGTCTCTGTCGGATAATTATCTCGAAATAAATACGCGTATATTTCTTGCAAAATACTCCGATAGTACTATCAAAAATATTATTATCGTTCGCTATATATCTGATGTCTGATACGAGGCGAATTATAAATGTCAATGATGAAAAAATAACACGAGTACTTTCCGACAATGCTATCGAGAAAATGTCGAGATGTTGTCTAATCAAAATTACGTGAATTACTATTTTTGCAGCCTCGGAATATTATCTTTCAAATGATTAAGTCCGCACAGTCTCCGCTTTATCTTTCGCAATACCGATCTTAATCTCTCTCCCCCCCTTCTCTTCTTCCTTTCTTCCTCTCCTACCACCTCTTCTCCCTCCTCGCGTGTACATTTTCCCCATCCTTTCTCTCTTATATTTTTTTCTCTCTCTTTCTCCTGTCGATAGAATTCTCACCGTATATCGCGCGCAACGAATAATCCGTTATGAAGACGAATGCCGCAAGAAATCTCGCGCGAGGTCGCGCGTTTCATTCAAATTTAGCATTAACTGTCAACTGTCACCTGTCACCTGTTATTCCGCGCGCGAACCGTATTATTTTCGTATACGAGTTGTTGATTTAAACGGGAAGCTATCCGAGAATAATTTCCGGAGCGCGTTACCGCTTACTACAATGTGCAACTAATCCGAACGGATCTTTCTAACATGAGCGAAACTAGAAAACGCGAGATAAAACAAGCGAGCTCGTATGTTGGAAGCGGAAACGTTCATCGCACAGAGCGAAATATCTACGTGATCCCTTAACGTAAAAGCGAGTCGTCGAGAGAATATTAAATTTCTTCCTTTCCCGGCATTTTATATAATAAATCCTTTCTTGGAAAAATTATTTTCAAGATGTCACGTGTAATATCTATACAGAGACGTCTAATATATTTTTCAAGCATATTTAATTAGAGACAAATTTTCTATCTAAAAATAATAAATATGCTTGAGTATTTCCGGATTATGTTAGGCATTTGATAATAATCATTATCCAAATACAGCACAGAAAATTACAGTTACTGTTACAACAATATTAATAATAAAGTTCGCTAAAGATTTCTTAATCACAGGCATTTGTATTTATACTGGAAAATTTGTTACTCGGAATCAAAATATTTGACTCTCAAAATTTCAGAGATAATAATCATTTGTAAAATTAGCGTTTTAATATCTTATAGAAAAAGAAATTATAACAGGAGATTCCATCGAAATCTTAAAGCGTGAAAAATAATAATAAAACGCAAGAAGTATATTTTCCACGTTACATTATATCATTTATGCATAACCAGTCCGTTAGTCTACTATCTAATCTAATCGTTTACCAAAAATGACACATGCTGTCATATATAATTTTATCAAAAGCATACATGAGCGGGGACGCATTTTTACACAAGCGTACGAGATCGTATCGTACGAATAATAAGCCGCATATATATTCTCGATTCTCTATTAGCTGCACTTGACTGCGAGGCTAGCTTATATATCGATTTAAAATGGCGGATCGTCCGCTTACGACTCTCGAGCGTGTCTCTAGCGCATCGGAACGCGAAACGCCGCTATTCGACGCGACTTGGCCGCGCGCGCGCGCGCGCGCTCGCGCTCGCGAGCGCATCATCTCGTTTCGCGCGTTTGACACCCGCGAGGTGAAACCTGCGTTTTCCACGCGCTTTTCCGCGCATTTCTCTCTCCCTCCGTCCGTCGCTCTGTCACCGCGACGTACTACGTTGCATGCGCCGTGAGCGCGTATTTTGAATGTCCCGTACGCGAGTATCAAAAATTATTGATCCACTCGATGCCACTGCGCGTGTGTGCTGCGTGTACGCGCGCGCAGGTGGTCATTGTGTGTGCTCGCAAGTCAGGGATTCTCAATCCCGTCCCTATAGATCTCTCCGCGGATCAGGTCTTTTTTTCGTCCTCGATAACGGCGGTTTTACCATCTCTCAACTTTGAAATTTTTATCGTCCCGTGCTTATTTCGAAAGCCCTCTTCCAACTAAATTTCTAATCTAATAGTAAGTCTAAGAGATTATATCGTAATTAGATACTTCGACTGTCGCTCCGAGGGTGACATCTGATATCTCAACTTGAATTTCATATGGTACTTAGGAGAATGTTTGCTAAGCAGTTTTTATTACAAAGTAATTTCATTGATATCGAAAGAAATTTGATAATTAGATTTCTCACGAAAAAAAAAATGGTACTTTTATTCCGAAATATCTCTCTTCAAAGAAAATTGAAATTTTCGCAGGAGAAGTGCTCCAGATGAAAATCAAGTAGCCAAGTTTGAAAACGAGCTTAAAATAATTTAGCTCCAAATATGATTCTTTACCCTCCCCTTTTCTCCTCGCGAATTTAATAGATGAAAAAAGTGTGTGCAACATTACAGTTGAGATTTTCGAG